TCTATTTTACATCTACTCCTCCTTTTTCTTAGAGGAATAAGCCTTGTGCATACATCGAGTGCCACCGAGTTAATCTGTTCTAGGCATAAGTTTGGGTCTGTGTTGCTTAGTATATCTTCCCAGCTTATATCGGTTAGGACTTGGTTTACTTGGTCCCACTTTATGTTTTTGTTATTGAAGTTGAATTTGGTGAATGCTCCCTCGTGACTAGTCTCATTTTGTCGGTCTGGGGCTCCACGCATACATGTCTGAACCTCAATTATGTTGTGATCTGAGTATATTGTTTTTGATATGGTGACATTTCTTATCAGATCATCATTGTTAGTGAAGATGAGGTCTAGTGTATTCTCCAGTCTAGTAGGCTCTATATTTGCTGGTTTAAATTGAATTTTGTGCAGAGATTTAAAAGCTCGTGTGAGTGTGAGTTTTCATCAGAGCTGCCTCCTGGTGTTATTACTGCAACAATATTATTTGCTATATTCCTCCATTTTAGGTGCCTTAAGTTGAAATCCCCCAGGAGCAAGATGTTGGGTGCAGGAGCTGGAAGATTTTCCAGACAGTGGTCAATTTTTAACAGCTGTTCCTGGAATTGCTGGGATGTTGCATCCGGAGGCTTGTAGACTGCCACAATGACTAGGTTTTGGTTCTCGACCTTTACTGCTAAAACTTCCACTACGTCATTTGAGGCATTAAGCAGTTCTGTGCAAACAAGTGCCCTGGGATCCATATTTCGTTGTCCAAGTGATCCTTTATGTGGGTCTCAGTGAAAGCCGCGAACATTGCCTTTGCCTCTGCAAGCAGTCCACGGATGAAAGGTATTTTGTTGTTTGTTGCTGGCTTTAGACCCTGTATATTTGCAAAGAAGAATGTTATCGGACTGGTGGTATTGTTGGTACTGGGGGGGATTTTTTTTCCGGCATTAGTATCTGTATCTGTTGGTTTGGAGTGGAGGCCATCGACTGTGGTTCCACTCCAGGAATGACTGGATTTGGTGTACGATTTCTGCCATTTCCTGCCAGTTTTTTTTCCTTCCTGGCACTAAAAAAACCTCTCCCTCTTGAGTGGCTGTGGCTACCCAGGTTTTCCCATGGCCTGGATGTTTTGTATCTTTTTGTCCCCTTTAGATGGTATGCCTGGCAATTTAAGTTATAGCACAGTCTTTCCTGTACTGAAGAGGTACACATTTCAGGGTGAAAAAGCTTACAGGAAGGGAGTTTGCATTTTCCTGTTATCATATGGGCATGACATTTTCTAGGGTGGTCATAGTTGCATGTCCCATCTGTTTTTCCAGATTTCCCATGCCAGCAGATACCAAGTGCATAGTATGTGCACAGGCTTGGTTTCCGTTTGCCTTGGGTTTCTGTGACTGTATTCCCTGTTGGTGCATGTTTCCCTGTCTTATTCCTATCCTCCCTAGCACCAACAATGGAGCTCCCACCAGTTGTTTTTGGTAATTTATCCTCACTATTGCTATTGGAGTCCTCTTGTTTGCTATTTCCTGCGGTATTTCTAGTTTGCAATATTGGTTTTATCTTATCTTTGACTACACTTGTTTCCCTACTATGGCTCCTGTCCTCTATGAGGTCATTTATATGTATTCCTTCCTGCGTATAATTCCCGACTACCTGGACAAAATCTCCAGCTTCACCATTACTGTCTCCCAGGACAGTATCTCCAGCTTCACCATTTCTGTCTCCCAGGACAGCACCTCCAGCTTCACCATTACTGTCTCCCAGGACAGCACTATCAGCCCCACATTTACTGACTACCAGGACATCACCTCCAGCCTTACAGTTTGTGACTACATGGCCAGTATCAAGGGCAGTACCATTCAGCCCAGACTTTTTATGTTCCCATCTGTTGTAGAAAGCTTCCAGGTTTTCTATGAAAGCAGCTTTGATGTTATCCTCTTTTAATACCCTTGTGATTTTAGTCCACAGATTTTCCTCATTTGGGCATACCCAAAAACACTTCTCTGTTTTAATACTGCTTGTAGCTAGTTCTGGGATATCTGCACAAGGAGCGTGACACCAATTTCCACAAAAATGACAATTTATCCATGTGGAAGCCCGTTTGTTTGACTGACCACAGACTACACACAGCTTCATAATGATTTGAATGGTTGATTTACTGCAATTCTACTAGCAACCTCTTGAATATTATATTAATAACCTTAAATGAAGCTCTAGCTATTTGTATTTCTGTTTCTAACTCTTTTTGTATATTGGGCAGCTTACCGTCACGTTCCTGATTTTTAATGTTTGTTATGCAGAGTATTTCTGGTAAATTAGATTAATTTTGTCCCCAGGATGCGACCCACACCAGTCTACTAGCACCCAGGTACCTACTTATTGCTAAGTAAGCATGGACAGCAGGTGCCTTAAGGAAACACGTCCTAATGTCTCCACCCGTATCGGAGATCGAACCACGGACCTTAATGTGTGAGCCAAGTGCGCTACCAAATGAGCTACGGGACACCACAATTCATTTATTCATTTATTAACATAACTAAAAGTAGAATAATACAGAAGTTTTTGTGCCTTTAAGAATAAATCTGTTACTACATAACAGAAGGACCTCAGAAGGACCCAGAAGGACCTCACAAGGTCCCAGAAGGACCCCACAAAGACCTAGAAGGACCTCACAAGGACCCAGAAGGACCCCACAAGGACCCAGAAATACCTCACAAGGACCCAGAAGGACCCCACAAGGACCCAGAAGGACCCCACAAGGACCCAGAAGGACCCCACAAGGACTCAGAAGGACCTCACAAGGACCCAGAAGGACCCCACAAGAACTCAGAAGATCCCATAAGAACCCCGGTGAAAAGTCACAATAACTTTGTATTAAATAACACAGATACATACACTTTAGGATAAGTTTTAATGGATATTTTGGTCCTGGAACTTTGGTTACTGCAAGTGATACGAAGGACCGAGAAAGTACAGTATATAACAGAGAATATAAGTCCTGGGCGATGGTCAGGTGGAGACGTGAGGTCTGTGTATCACCTAGCGGCCAGGAAGACGCATGTAGCAGTATCATCTGTGGCAGAGTGGTGGAGATAAGATTTTGTTGGGATTTTTAACCCCGGAGGGTTAGCCACCCAGGATAACCCAAGAAAGTCAGTGTGCCATCGAGGACTGTCTGGCTTATTTCCATTGTGGTCTTTCAGTCTTGTTCGCCAGGATGCGACCCACACCAGTCGACTAACACTCAAGTACGTACTTGCTTGCTAGGTGTACGGGAACAACAGGTGTAAGGAAACACGCCTAATTTTCCCACCCGGCCGGGGACTGATCCCCAGACACTCAGTGTGTGAGGCGAGAGCGTTGTCTACCAAGCCACGGGACACCAGATGTAGTTGCCAACTCTTTGTTTTATTATGTTGTAAGTAGCAATTAACGTTGCTACTATACAAAGGCAACCATTCCTGTCAGAGATTCCGTGGACCATTTCTGCGTTATTCCAATGCATCAGCTCACCTTCTTTAGACCTATACTCCACAAGCTCTGCTGGTGTCGTCACAGTTGCAAGCAGCATATTTGTATTCTTGAACATGTGTAGAAACATTTCGCCTGATATGGTGTTGATTCCTGTGTCACTTTTGTGTGTGTGGTAGAGATGTCTCTTCCTGGCGAGGTCTATGATAAAAGATGTGGCCGTAGTGGCTATGAAGATGTTACTTCTAGAACTTATCTGCTTGGTATCAGTTGGCTGGGATCGGTTGGTTGGATTCGGTTGGTTGGGTTCGGTTGGCTGGGTTCAGTTGGTTGGGTTCGGTTGGTTGGGTTCAGTTGGTTGGGTTCGGGTGGTTGGGCTCAGTTGGTTGGGATCAGTTAGTTGGATTCGGTTGGTTGGATTCGGTAAGTTGGATTCGGTTAGTTGTGTGCAGTTGGTTGGGTACGGTTGGTTGGATTTGGTTAGTTGGATTCGGTTGGTTAGGTTCAGTTGGTTGTTCGCAGTTGTGTAACCGAAGGTTGAGAAGTCATTAGCAACCATGATCCAACCTTTCAGAGACACCTCCATGCAAACCTTGCAGGATATGGCAAGACACCTCATTGTTGATGCAAGCTATCCGAAATCTTGAGGTTGTATCCACATTTTGCGTCGACTAGATGAATTAGCTGTTTTTATAGAGATTGAAATCCATTTTCTATTTGCTGGGGTTAAATTCAAATAGCCGCTTGTCAGACCAGTCCCTTAAGTAAGTAAGTAAGTAAGTAAGTTTATTCAGGCATACACAAATACAATTACATAGATTATCATACATAGCAGTATATGTGTAGAGAACTTAGGATGATAAATTAGACACATGTGCAACTCTTGGGTATCTTTATTGAGGAAACGTTTCGCCACACATTGGCTTCATCAGTCCATACGTAGGAGAAACTTGAAGAACAGGAGGAGAATGAGGAAATCAGTCCCTCAACCTTGAGTCGATGTGTTCAGTCCATCAATCTTGAATTGATGGACTGAACACATCGACTCAAGGTTGAGGGACTGATTACCTCATTCTCCTCCTGTTCTTCAAGTTTCTCCTACGTATGGACTGATGAAGCCACTGTGTGGCGAAACGTTTCCTCAATAAAGGTACCCAAGAGTTGCACATGTGTCTAATTTATCAACATGTCGGTTCTCTGAACCATTCATCTACAGAACTTAGGATAACCCAAAAAAGTCAGAGTGACTTATTGCCATTTGTAGTCTTTCCTGGTCTCCTCTTGGTTTTTTCTGGATCTACCGAGGTTTAGGATAGGGAACCAACTTACCTAATTAGGAATTTAGTGTTCCAGGAAGATAAGATAAGATAAAATAATAGAATTCCCGGCCAGATTTGGTCAAAGGATCCAGTAAGAATAAGTCACTGTGTCTAAATTTTCTTTGGGTTATCCTCTGTGTACCTGTGTCTAAATAAACTTACTTACATACTTATATACTTACTTATTTACTTACTTGCTTACTCACTTACTTACGTGGCCACCTGGGAGTGAGGGTTCAATAAGAAGTAAGTTTTAGTAGCCTTCAACAACCCCAACAACAACAACAACAACAACAAGATGTCTACTGCAGAGTACGTGAAGGATGAGTCGGGCAAGTTATCATTTAATGACATTCCGAGTAATGAGAGTGATTATGGTTGTTACTGTGAGGATAATTGATGGTTGAGGTAGCAGGAGCAGAGGATAAATATGGTGTGTGAGGCTGGAGTGGCCGGTGAAGGAGAGACGGTGATGGCAGCAGCTGCAGCCACACATGCGCTCCATGTTATATATCTATAGCGTATAATTTTTTTGGTTAAAGACCTGCGTGTAGAGTATGAAGTTTTGAAATGTTATGGAGGTGGTTGTATGGTTTTTGTATCTAGTGTTGTTAAGGGTGTTTTAGGGTTGTGTTAGTGGATCAATCATATGTTAGAGGTCTTGACCCCATACTTGTCACTGATGGAAATCATGGAGAGATTTTTAAAATAATTTTTACACGTGAATATTTAGCCATTTCTAAGACATTTTTACTCCTGGACATTTCTTGATTTTTTTATAGTTTTTGAGATATGGCTCATTTTAACGTGTATCCTGTGAGGAACCCAAAACGACTACCAATAACCCATATTAGTCGTGTACTGCCCACTAGTGGAATACTTTTTATGATTCTTTTAAATGATACATGAATTAATGTAGGGTTGTAAAGAGCTGTTTTCTATTTTTACTTTAATAAGATATTACAAGAACCCTAATGGAAATAAATTACTTCGCCTGACTTTTTTGGGGGGTTCTCCTGGGTAATTTGCATATATGTGATGTTGCAATAAGATAACAGTACACAGGTGTTCTGTACCTCAGTTGGTAGCGCACGCAGCTTACACATTGCGGTCTGTGGTTCGATCCCCAGTATGGGTGGAAACATTAGGACGTGTTTCCTTAAGACACCTGCTGTCCCTTGTTCACCTAGCAATAAGTAGGTACCTGGGTGTTAGCAGACTGGTGTTGCTTGCATCCTGGGGATAAAATTAACCCAAGTTGCTTGAAATACTCTGCATAACAAGGGCTTTCTGTATGGTACTATGAAACTGATGTTAGCTATGGTCTGTATAAGTTGTATCTTGTACCTATTGAAATAAAGATTATTATTAGTATTATTATAACAATGTGGAAAATAACCACTGAAAAAATTGTGAATTTCCAAGTATTTTTCATGATGTCTCACATAATCAAAGAACTGTGTGTAATTATGAAAGTTCTTGGAAATTCACTATTTTTTCACATTAGTTATTTTGCATATGTAACTATGAATGATAATTGTACTTATGTATACTTAAATATTTACTTACAACTAATACTATAAATATTGTGTAAGTGCTGTATGCAAAGTATTTATTATATTAAAAAATATAGCTTTAGAAAGTGGTTATGAAACAGATGCTGATGTGTGAGAGGCAGAGTGACCTTGTATGAGGCAGAGTGACCTTGTATGAGGCAGAGTGACCTTGTATGAGGCAGAGTGACCTTGTATGAGGCAGAGTGACCTTGTAATGAGGCAGAGTGACCTTGTATGAGGCAGAGTGACCTTTGTATGAGGCAGAGTGACTTTGTATGAGGCAGAGTGACCTTGTATGAGGCAGAGTGACCTTGTATGAGGCAGAGTGACCTTGTATGAGGCAGAGTGACCTTGTATGAGGCAGAGTGACCTTGTATGAGGTGGAGTGACTTTGTATGAGGCAGAGTGACCTTGTATGAGGCAGAGTGACCTTGTATGAGGCAGAGTGACCTTGTATGAGGCAGAGTGACCTTGTATGAGGCAGAGTGACTTTGTATGAGCAGAGTGACCTTGTATGAGGCAGAGTGACTTTGTATGAGGCAGAGTGACTTGTATGAGGCAGAGTGACTTTTTGTATGAGGCAGAGTGACTTGTATGAGGCAGAGTGACTTTGTATGAGGCAGAGTGACCTTGTATGAGGCAGAGTGACTTTGTATGAGGCAGAGTGACCTTGTATGAGGCAGAGTGACTTTGTATGAGGCAGAGTGACCTTGTATGAGGCAGAGTGACTTTGTATGAGGCAGAGTGACTTTGACTTTGTATGAGGCAGAGTGACCTTGTATGAGGCAGAGTGACTTTGTATGAGGCAGAGTGACTTTGTATGAGGCAGAGTGACCTTGTATGAGGCAGAGTGACTTTGTATGAGGCAGAGTGACCTTGTATGAGGCAGAGTGACCTTGTATGAGGCAGAGTGAGTGACTTTGTATGAGGCAGTGACCTTGTATGAGGCAGAGTGACTTGTATGTTGGCAGCAGACTTGTATAAGGCAGAGGTGACTTGTATAGCTGATTGACCTGTAAGAGGCAGAGTGTCTTGTATGACCAGAGTGCTGAGAGGGGTGACCTTGTATGGACAGATGTGTGCACCTTGTATGAGATTCATGCAATGAATTGTGATGGCATTGTGCTTCTGTATACTGCAGCTATTAATATCTGGCAGCCTGAAATCTTTGAGTTATAATAATGGATGTGAGTTTTTGACTAAGTTAGCAGCATTGACCCGAATTCTAATGAATTGGTCAGATCATTGCTTTAGCAATTTTATTTAAGTTTATTAATATCTCCCTATACTGTTGTGCTTAATATTTTTACATAGCATGCTCTGCAATACATTTACTAGTTTTACTTAAAATATCATGCAATTTATTATTTTCTTCAAGAAACTTAATATTTCTTGTGCATAAAATTAAATTATTAATTATTATGAGTTTTTAAATAACATTCACCTTATTTGTAAAAATTCTACCTATAAAATTAATTTATTTAATTTCAATTTAAACTTATCATTTTTGTGTAAATTATATATCAATTTATTTAATTCATGCTTTTAAATCTATTTTGTTTACTTTACTCAATAGTATTACTTTTATTTTATGTCTGTTTATTTTTAATGTCTTTATATACATACTGTATATGTACATTATTTATTGTGTTAATAGTCTTGCTTTATTTTTAGCTTGATCAAAATGCTCTACATATCTAGGGGCTTTTCATTTGTACTAATAAATGTACTTGTTGACCCTTTTGTACAGGATGTAAGAGTTGCAAACAGTGAGGTGAAATACATATACAAAGAATCACATATCCTCTGGCTTTTATGGGAGTCTCGTAGAGATTTGTCAGCATGTTTAGTCAGTGCCAACCATGCTAGAGTTGTAAGGTTTAATAACCTGAGAACAGGAGACCTCCACTTTGTTCTTGACAGTGGCATTCACGTACAGGCCAAGACTCCAAGAGTAGCTCATTGTTCCTCACTTTTCTTTGGGCTCATTCATATTCTTGGAATCCTGTAGGGTGGATTACCATTTCCATTTTTTCCTTGCTGTACTAGGCATCTGCACTTGTAAGAACTGTGTTGTCTGGGTTGTCTTTCTTTCTTCTGTCTCGTGTTTCTGTTCCTTCATTATTTATTTCATCACTTCCCCTTTTCCCCACCTCTGTGCACTTGCTCTCCCTCTGTGGGCACCTAGCTCCCTTGCAGTGCTCCCCTTTCTTTGTATTTGACTGGATCCTCGTCCTTAATTTACTACTACTACTACTACTACTACTACTACTACTACTACTACTACTACTACTATACTACTACTACTATTTACATACTACTACTACTACTACTACTACTACTACTACTAACTACAAACTACTACTACTACTACTACTACTAACTACTACTACTACTACTACTACTACTACTACTACTACTACTACACTACATACTAACTACTATACTACTACTATACTACTACCACCACCACCACCACCACAACAACAACAACAACCACCTCTACCTCTTCCTGCCTATATATACACGTCTCGTTTGTGTGACTTTGTAAATGGTCCAAGTAGGATCGAAGCGTCATCGTGAGCTCCTCTCTTCTGTGTATGGGTTGTTTGTGTATCTGCACTTGTATTTCTGCTGAAAGTGTGCAACAAGGCTGATGTTAGTGAAGAAACTGTCAGTGTCAATTACTGATGTGGCTGGGTTTTCATCAGAGTAATGACAATTTTTGAGGATGATATTCATCTTGTCATTCTCAGCTGAGAACCTGACTCCATGTGCAGTAAAAGTTGAGGCAGTCTTCATGGATGAAACTATCTACACTTATTACTGCAAAAAAAAAAAAAGCTTGAAGCCCAATTTGTCTGGCTTTGTCTATATTTTCCTCTAGTTTCCAGCACAAATATTTTTATATCTCCCAAAATAACTTTAAAGTAACCATAATTTTAATAACATTTGTGATGGCACATATTATGACATAATACTAATTAATCATGCCAAAATTGACTATACTACAGTGGAACCTCAAATATCGAACTTTCTCTGGTCCAGAAGGTTGTTCGAGTGCCTTTACCGAATGAATTTATTCCCATGAGGAATAATGTAAATTAGGTTAGTCCATTTCAGACCCTCAAAAATACAATTATAAAAGCACTTACAAAAATACACTTACATAATTGGTTGTGTTGGGAGCAGTTCGATTTTTGAGGTTCCACTGTATATGTTCACTATATTGTACATGTAGTTACTAGTTAGTCATTCCAAGAGTCAGGTACTGGACTTGCATGGTTTCTCATATATCATCCACAAGTCCAGTATCAGCTTTGACGCTTTATCAGGAGTGGGGTTTTGTATCCATTGTAGGATTTACTTTTTATGTGGCATATTTTGCTCAAAGTTCTTCTGTTATTTTTCTAATTTCACCTGTGACAGTGCTAAGTAAAACTACATAGCTGTGTCATGTGAAATTTTCATAAAGTTACTTCCTTGGTGATCAGCATTCTGGTTCTGAATGTGAGGAACACTTTTTTGAGTTTGTGAGACTCTTCCACAATGTTCTCTTCCTAGCCATCCCAAGAGGGTTAGATGGAACTCTTAATTGTTCTTAATATTATGAGGAAGTGTTCCTCTATTGGCCTGACCATACATTACATACGTCCTGCTCCATGATTAGCCTCAGGAAATTTACAAAGTTAGTCAAAAACTCAGTTCTGTAATGGATATAAGAACTATGGTGCTAACATGATAATTGGTGAAACTATATATTTAGGGCTACAGTGGTTTGAAATACTGCAAACCTGTGTTGATTACAATGTAATTAGTTGCCAACTCTTATTGTTATGGTTACAGTTGAAGGATGGTAAAGTTTAATTGCTCACATGACTTCGTTATGCTGAATTTAACAATTTTGATAGTTTCAGAAATATATTGGCATACTTTTTACTGTTTTCAGGTGAGTGAATTTAGGTTAGTCTCAGGTTTGTTAGGTTAAATATGGTTAGGCAGGTATTTCCTTCATTCATTCATTTAATGCTAATGAAGGGCTCTTGATTGAAGGAATTGGACCTACTTTTTTATTCCTAGGATCAGTCCTGACTATTTACAATTTCCTGGGTGCTGTATGATATACCTTTGATAGGTTTCGAGAGTTCCTACTGTAACCCACCCCTGTCCAGGCTTGTCTGGTACTTGCTTGGCCAACAAGGTCATTGCTGCACTTGGTCAACTAGGTTGTTGCTGCTGGCAGTGCACTCTCCCACATATCCATCACAGCCTGCTTGACCCACTAAATGGGCTAAATGGTACTTTATATTAATATAGAAGTAATAACTAGTGCCCTAGGCTATTTAACTGGCAGCCAGTTGGCATAACATAAATGGATATTGAATTGTATTACCCAACGTGCTGTGTTTGTTTACTTTCAATTTGATTAGTTGTGATTTAATATGTATATTTTTTTTTAGGTTTATGTAACCTGACCTTACCAATCAGCTGTCTGCTACCTGACTAGCCTTTAACAAATTGGTCGCTACCCCATGAATAGCCACTTCCATAATTAATTCCCATTCATTTTTTCAACCATTACAGTGCCATGAAGCTTTAGTAACATCTGTTATACACAAAAATAAGACCTGTATCCCAAGGATTGTCTCTTATATAGCCTTAGGGTTATAAAGAAGAACTGAGGATGTAATTTAGGTTTACCGAAACGTCTCATTATTACTATTTATTCATTCATTCATGAGCAAAAATTTCACACGTGAGACCCATACCGTGTTTTATTTCAGTATTTGGTGTTATTTGCATTTTTACTGTAATTCTTGTACAGTAAGATTAGTTCCAGTTTACATATTCAGAACACGTAATTGTTAGTGTACAACAATTTTTTCTTGGAACGATGAGCCACTTTCCTGGGAAAAATGGAAAGGCTTTGCAAAAGAAAAGTGTAAATCTGCTTAGAATAATAGTTAATAGAGTACAGTTCATTATATATGCACACACAGAGTTGTACAACAAGCCTTAGTAGAAGAACTGGAAATGAAGATAATGAAAAGTTCTTTTACAGAATGGTACAACAATGGCATTCATTATGCAAGAGTAAGTTCTTGTACAATTCAAAAATTAATAAACCTATGTGATTAATTAAATACTAAAGATGGGACACCATGAGCATTTATAGATTAAATACTGAAGATGGGATACCATGAACATTTATAGATTAAATATTGAAGATGGGATACCATGAGCATTTATAGATTAAATATTGAAGATGGGATACCATGAGCATACATACTAAATTAAATACTGAAGATGGGACACTACAAGCACACCTAAATTCTAAAAGATTAGGACACCATAAGCATGGCTTTGCAACTGTAGTTACAGATAGGTAACAGGAATACTGTATGTACTGTACACACACATCCACACACAAAAGTACAGTTTCTGCAACAACAAAATATTTGCTCCCTAAAACAGAGTTTCAAAAAGGATGAATAAAATACACAAACTCTTTAATGAATTTTATTATTAAACCTAGAAAATGCAGAACATCAATATTTGGTTATTTGATCTTTTTTTTTTTTTAGCTTTTCACACCAAAGATTTATATTGTTGAGACTGTGGGTAATCAAACAGTTTGTATTGCATAAAACACTAAAACTGAGAGGTTAGAGGGATAGAAATGGTGATTTCTATTCATGTATATTTTGCCGGCTAAGAGCTCATCTCTGCTCATTTTAAAGCCTAACCATAATATTTTGTCCCCAGAACATGATGTTCCAGTCGATTTATCACATCCAGATCACCAGCCGCAGCTGGATGAGCAAAGTGTGACCCCCAGCCAGGGACTCGAGTCCGAGACCTCTCGCTTGGAAGGCGAGTTTGCTCTGTTTGCATTTGATACTGTTCTCTTTATTTATTTTCTGACCTATAACTGGGAGGCAGTTGTTTACCTAACTTAATATGTTTTACAATACACAAGCAAACTAACAATAGTTATTTAATTCATTTACAATCTCTGCATGTCGTTTATACTCTGCATTGTGAGAGGTTTTTATCATTTACCGGCTTACTTAACTGACATGCAGAGGAGTATTTTCATACTAAAAACTGAAATAAAGTATACCATGGAACTGTGTGAAATTTTAGTAACTAAATATTTTATTGGTATAGTATCCCAAAAATTCCAAGAGGTTAGACTGAATGAGTACCTAAAAGAAATGTGAAGGAAAAAATATACCCAATTAGTACGATTTTCTTGAAATACGGTGGCCATCCCCAACCCAAGAATGTCTGAATTGCAGTCATCTGTACGTATAAATGAGGTTCGTGAGATATTATACTAAAAAATACGCCTTTTGAAGAATGTTGATCCACAGGTATAAACAAATGTGACATGCAACTATCCTAAATCGCTCCATATCGATTGATTTAACATTTTTTAAGTTTTAGGTACCAGTAATGGCTTGGCCAGTGCCTCTGTACTCTCTTATGCTATTGTTTTCTACAGGAAAATTTGTTCAGATAACTTGTTTGTGAGTTATAACACCAGGAGTGTAACTCTTTAAAAAGGAACTCAAGCATATACAAAAATCACACAATATAGAGAAGCTTAGAGAGCTGACAGATGAGTTGGTGAGAGATGAGGCGAATCATAGAATTCGTTTTGTGTTGAGATATTTATGGGAAGAAAGAGGGAAGTTTGTGGAGGCATAAAAGAGAATGTACCAGAGTATTGTGGTACCGATCCTCTTTTGACGGGTGTGAGGCATGGTCTATGAACATTGCAGTGAGAAGGATAGCAGCAGTGAAGATATGCTGGAGAGTAATGTTTGGTGGGAATATTATGCAGAAAATTAGGAGCACAGAAATTAGGAGACGGTATAGGGTTATGAAACATTTACTTTAAAGAACAGAGGAGCTGTTAGTCATTTAGGTAGGATGGAGCAAGATAAGATAACATAGGTGTATAAATCTAGGGTGGAAGGTTTGGAGGGAAGGGTGAAGGAGGTTTTGAATAGTAATGGCTTGAGCTTTCAGCAAGTGTGTGATGTAGTTCAGCTGGGCTTGTGAGGTCTCTTGGGAGAACTACATCACAAGTGTGTGTTTGTATGTGTTAGATTAGAACAAGTGGTTTTTATGGTTTGATTTGATGTGTTGTTGGGGTGAGCAAAGTAACATTTATGAAGGGATTCAGGGAAAACTGGCTATCTGAACTTGAGTCCTGGGGATGGGAAGTACATTGCCTGCACTTTGAAAGAGGGGTGGGGATATTATAGTTCAGAGGTTTGTTTGAATGGTGATGTATGTTCACTTCTGGCATGACTGCTAAATGAATGAATGATGATGGATGTGTTTGGGTTACCATTTCCTTGGGAGGAGATGGATGATATTTTAAAATAAATTATTGCTCAATGTTTTATATCACTTATGTTTGATGACCCATTACATTCTAGCACAGTATATACATGTCCTGCTACATATTATTCTGACATTACTTTGCAGGACAGTGCTTCATTCCAGCATCACAACGTCCTGATGGAACATGGAGGAAAGCAAGACGCGTAAAAGATGGTTATGTGCCACAGGAAGAAATGCCCTTGTAAGTCTCTTGTGCTCAACAGTTTCAGTTATCCACGGTTTACCCTTGCCCGAAAATAACCCTTAATTTTATGTAATAATGATGCCAAAGTGCAAAAGTAGTGATGGTGTCAGTTCTTCAGAGCCTTAGAAAAGCCATGATGTTCTTCCCATCAGTAAAAAGGTGCTAATTCTCGACTTATTGTGTGTAATTTGTCAATTAAACTTTATCATAGGTATGTATGTAACGAAAAATTACTTAAATATAAGGTTCGCTACTATCCCCATTTTCAGGTATCCATGGTAAGTCTTGGAACGTATTCCCCGTGGATATGGGGGTCCTACTGTGCTATTTACCTTTCTACATATTTCAGGTATGAAAGTAAAGGGAAGCAGTGGGCAAAAAATAAACCGGACTTACCAGTAGGTCTTGCACCAGCTGATGTTGCTGCTGTGAAGGCTCGGCAGCAAATGAACGATGTGGGCATCCCAGGCTTAGCACTTCCGGCGAAACATGGTAGGTATTGTAGACTGGTAATAATGGTACAGTTACCCACAAAATACACCTACCATCCGATTTAGGACCGAGTTCGGTTCCGAGAAGCCGGTCATAAGTCGAAATGGTCGTAAGTCGAACTTTACTACTGAATATCAACAAAACATTTTTGTAATGACTTTATTTTATTGTTTTATTTTTGTATTTCATGTTTTACTTTACTTTTTATGTTGTTAGTACTGTATTTTATACTGTAAAGTTTAGAATAAACACTGTGTACAACACAAATAGCTATTTATTTCCCAGAAATTTGGCATAAAAAACACGGTCGTAAGTCGAGTGGTCGTAAGTCGAGCAGGTTGTAAGTCGAGTGGTCGTAAGTCGAGCAGGTCGTAAGTCGGATGGTAGGTGTATTTGGTAAATGAGCACGTGCAACTTCTTCTTTCAACAAACCGGCCATATCCCACCAAGGCAGGGTGACCCACAAAGAAAAACTGAAGTCTCTCTTATTAACCTTAGTAATGTATACAGGAGAAGGGGTTACTAGCCCCTTGCTCCAGGCATTTTAGTTGCCTCTTATGACACACATGGACACATGCAACTAATGTGACATTTTACTGTGGCAATGTTTTGCTCTCCAGTTACAACTTTTTTTCATTTATTAATATTTGGGAGTGAAAAAATTGTTCATCCCTGGTACAGATAAATATTACAAGATGGTATGCCATTGGAGAGGATTGCTGAGAGTAGATTTTTAAGAAACATTATAGTAGAAAATCTAAATCATTTAGATAAAGAAAAATTGGATATCAAATTGGGGAGGAGGAGTATGGAAGAAGTGAATGTTTTCAGATACAGTGGACCCCCGGTTAACGATATTTTTTCACTCCAGAAGTATGTTCAGGTGCCAGTACTGACCGAATTTGTTCCCATAAGGAATATTGTGAAGTAGATTAGTCCATTTCAGACCCCCAAACATACACGTACAAACGCACATACATAAATACACTTACATAATTGGTCGCATTCGGAGGTGATCGTTATGCGGGGGTCCACTGTACTTGGGAGTTGACGTGTCGGCGGATGGATTTATGAAGGATGAGGTTTATCATAGAATTGATGAGGGAAAAAAGGTGAGTGGTGCGTTGAGGTATATGTGGAGTCAAAAAACGTTATCTATGGAGGCAAAGAAGGGAATCTATGAAAGTACAGTGGACCCCCGGTTAACGATATTTTTTCATTCCAGAAGTATGTTCAGGTACCAGTACTGGCCGAATTTGTTCCCATAAGGAATATTGAGAAGTAGATTAGTCCATTTCAGACCCCCAAACATACACGTACAAACGCACTTACATAATTACACTTACATAATTGGTCGCATTGGGAGGTGATCGTTATGCGGGGGTCCACTGTATAGTAGTACTAACACTCTTATATGGAAGTGAAGCTTGGGTGGTAAATGCAGCAGCGAGGAGACGGTTGGAGGCAGTGGAGATGTCCTGTCTAAGGGCAATGTGTGGTGTAAATATTATGCAGAAAATTCGGAGTGTGGAAATTAGGAAAAGGTGTGGAGTTAATAAAAGCATTAGTCAGAGGGCAGAAAAGGGGTTGTTGAGGTGGTTTGGTCATTTAGAGAGAATGGATCAAAGTAGAATGACATGGAAAGCATATAAATCTATAGGGGAAGGAAGGCGGGGTAGGGGTCGTCCTCGAAAGGGTTGGAGAGAGGGGGTAAAGGAGGTTTTGTGGGCGAGGGGGCTTGGACTTCCAGTAAGTGTGCGTGAGCGTGTTAGATAGGAGTGAATGGAGACAAATGGTACTTGGGACCTGACGATCTGTTGGAGTGTGAGCAGGGTAATATTTAGTGAAGGGATTCAGGGAAACCGGTTATTTTCATATAGTCGGACTTGAGTCCTGGAAATGGGAAGTACAATGCCTGCACTTTAAAGGAGGGGTTTGGGGTATTGGCAGTTTGGAGGGATATGTTGTGTATCTTTATACGTATATGCTTCTAAACTGTTGTATTCTGAGCACCTCTGCAAAAACAGTGATAATGTGTGAGTGTGGTGAAAGTGTTGAATGATGATGAAAGTATTTTCTTTTTGGGGATTTTCTTTCTTTTTTGGGTCACCCTGCCTCGGTGGGTGACGGCCGACTTGTTGAAAAAAAAAAAAATTATAGTAGAAGATATAGTCATGAGTAGAATGGAAAGTTATCTCTTATTTAGCAAGTATGTACGTATGAAATATCATTTCTGCAGATCACTTGAATTCAGAACTTAGACATCTGAAGTTTTAGTAATACAGCTGATGTCTTTGCCACATCCTTTTACTGTAGTGGCTATTAGAGAAGTTGCTTAGAATACTTAATATTGCAGAATAGTAATAGTTATAATGTGCATTATTTTAAGAGAAATTATTAAAGCAAGAGTGTGTTATATATAATAATTATGTCTTTATTAAATAACTTGTCTTCAATAAAAGCAAATTGTCTTTTGGGAGTTAATAATAAGTTTTATCATTGCTTCAATTCATATAAAATTAAGAACATGGAAGCATGAGAATAGTGGAGCACTGCAACAGGCCTACTGGCCCATGCCAGAAAGATTTAAATCACACAAATCCACACCAACTCATGTACCTGTCCAACCTATTTTTAAAGGTACCCAAACTTTCTTGCTTCAGTGATGCTACTCAGGAGTTTAGTCCACTTATCCACAACTCTGTTTCTAAACCAGTACTTTCTTATATTCTTTCTAAATCTAATACACAGGAGAAAGAAGTTTGTGACAATGTTTCAGCTCAACTTGAGCCATTTACAAGTCACACTAACACATGAAGTGTGACTTGTAAATGGTCTGAGTTGGACTGAAATGTCATCATAAGCTTTCTCCTGTGTGTGGGTTATTTGTGTATTGTTCCCGTTATGGTATTGTGCCTGTTTGTTCTTTCTAAATCTAAATTTGTCCAACATAAATCTATTGCTGAGAGTCCCATTTTTGTAATATTTAGTGAAGGGATTCAGGGAAACTGGTTATTTTTATATAGCCGGACTTGAGTCCTGGAAATGGGAAGTACAATGCCTGCACTCTAAAGGAGGGGATCGGGATATTAGCGGTTTGGAGGGATATGTTGTGTATCTTTATACGTATATGCTTCTAAACTGTTGTGTTCTGAGCACCTCTGCAAAAACAGTGATTATGTGTGAGTGAGGTGAGTGTTGAATGATGATGAAAGTATTTTCTTTTTAGGGGATTTTCTTTCTTTTTGGGTCACCCTGCCTCAGTGGGAGACGGCCGACTTGTTAACCCTTTCAGGGTTTCGGCCGTATTAGTATGGCTTACGTGCCAGGGTCCTTGACGTACTAGTACTCATAAATTCTAGCGCCTTCAAATCTAGTGAGAGGAAGTTGGTAGGCCTACATATGAAAGAATGGGTCTATGTGGTCAGTGTGCGCAGTATAAAAAAAATCCTGCAGCACACACTGCGTAATGAGAAAAAAAAACTTTGACCGTGTTTTTGGATTAAAACAGCGACTTTGCACTGTATTTTCGTATGGTATTTATTGTTGTATTCTAGTTTTCCTGGTCTCATTTGATAGAATGGAAGACATATTACAGAAATTAAGATGATTTTGACTGGTTTTACAATGAAAAGTACCTTGAAATTGAGCTCAAAGTAGCAGAAATGTTCAATTTTTACCAAAGTTCAAAAGTAAACAAATCATGCTAAGCATCCAATACACGTCAACTGGTGAGTCTAATATTCTTTCACAAGTGCGCCGATATTATTTATACCATTTCTACACTAATGCAGTAGTCTGCATGACAGTAAATCTTCTATTTTTTGTGAGAATAAAAATTCAGAATGGAAAGCAAAAGAATGTAAGAGGGGCGTGGGGACGTGACTAATGAACAGAGGAAATGTTATTTTAGTGCAAGGAATGTCTTTCTTGTTTATTCTGGACCCTATTTGGAAATTGGCATCTTTTGAAATTTGTGTGAAATTGGCAAAATTGCTAAATTCTGACCACTGTATTGGATAGTTGAAATCGGTAAATGGGTGGTTTCTTGTACTCATTCGATGGAAAAAATGGAGTTCTAGCGAAATAGGTATGATTTTTGTCGACTAGTACACTGGAATTGGCTGAAAATAGGGCTCAAAGTGGGCAAAATCGCCGTTGCGTAAACATCGTTGAGACCGCTAACTTCGCGAGAGCATAATTCCGTAAGTTTTCCATCAAATTTCATACTTTTGGTGTCATTATGATCGGGAAAAGATTCTCTATCTTTTCATAAGAAAAAATAATTTTTTTTTTTTTTTTGAAATTTGGGGGACCCTGAGAACAAGTCTCTGAGAGGGCCTGTGGACCCTGAAAGGGTTAAAAAAAAAATTACAACCTGTTATTTATATTCTCTATATACCCAAACCACCTCAGCAACCCCTCCTTAGCCATCTGAATTGTATCCTGGGTCACCTCACGTTGCCTTTTACTTTCTGTGCTGTGAATTCTCTGCATGATATTCACAACACACATGGCTCTCAAACATGACATCTCCACCTCATCCACCCTCCTTTTCACTGCAGCATTCAAAACCTACGTCTCACATCCATATAATAGTATTGGTACCACTGTACTCTAGAACATTATCTTCCTTTTTTTTTTTTTTTTTTTTTTTCTTTTTTGCCTCCATATATAAAATTTCTACAGATTCTGTACTTCACCACACAACCCACCTTTCTTCCCTTCCTTTTATCTGTGCTGTGGTTTGCTTCAGCTTTCATAGATTCATCTGTTGATTTGTCCAATCCCAAATATCTAAATACATTCACTTCCTCCATTCTACCTCCCTCCAAACTGATATTCAGTCTGTCCTTTCCTAGACTTTTTGTTATCCTAATTATCTTGCCCTTTTTCTATGTTCACTTTAAATTTCCTTCTTTTACCTGGTATACTGAACAGGCTTATCTTTCTATACATGTATTGTTTACAGTCTCTCTTGTTCCCTTTTTTCTTATACTAGGGAACTATTCATGCTCTCTGCCAATACTTTGGTACCTATCTATATCTACTATATACCAGCTCTTAGAAAATACACCCTCTCTCACATTCCTGTCCCTTCAACAGAATGCTTTGTCTGTTTATCTAATATGGGAGTCCACGATAACGAGTATATCTTTTTGTTTGAAGAGGGGTTAGGTGTACCTTTCTTCTCACTGACTGCTGTACTCTCATCATGGAGTACAGCATAGCAAGTTCCATTCTTCAAGCCCACTTCTTCATCCCTCATCAGATGTTCACTTTCTTATTATCCTCCTTGAAACCCTAACATCTAACATCTTTACCACTTTCAATAAATATAATAATATTTGTAAGTGCAACATGCTATTACCCTTCATTAACCCCTCATCACGTGAATCTTTCTTCAGTAAATATTTTGTTTACGAGGTAATGTAATGTGAATTACTAATGCAGTTATATTGCTTTATTTAAATACAGTACTTTAAGTTTTTTTTTTTTTGGTAGGCATGTCCAAGTCACAGAAAAAGAAAGCAGCAGCAGCCAAGAAGAAGGCTGCAGCAGCTGACATGGAAATAACCAGAGATTTGGAAAACACACACATTTCCAACACAGTTGCAGGTAACTAACATTATTAGTGGTTTTGTGTACATATTTAAGGATTTACAAAAGTGTATCCGTGGTGTCATTTATCCATGGTTTACTGTGATACAAAAATACCTCTTTATTTTGCAAAATAATGGCCCCAAAGCACAAAAGTAGAGGAGCTGGCAGTTCTTCAGTGCCTAAGAAAAACCATGAAGTGCTTCTCATCAGTGAAAAGGTGATAATTCTCCACTTACTGTGTATAATTTATCAATTAAACTTTATAATAGGTATGTATAGGACTTATATATAGGGTTTGCTACTATCCATGGTTTCGGTATCCACGGCAGGTCCTTGGAATGTATCCCTGCGGATACAGGGATCCTACTGTATTTTAATTCTTTGCTTTTCACTTCAGGAGGGAAACAGCCATCAACTTCTGATCCTGCCAAGCGATTACGTAATCTAAAGAAGAAACTGCGCGACATTGAGAAGCTGGAGAAGCAGATTGCAAATGGTGAACTAAAACATCCAGAACGCGAACAACTGGAAAAAGTGAAAAAGAAAGATGAGGTTATACAGCAAATTGAAGACCTAGAAGAAGAAATTGATGACACTCAGTAGTAAAATAAGCATCTTTGGTTGCAGAAATGGGACAATATTTCAATGACTAAAAATTATTATTGCAGATGCTAGTGGACCTCTTGGTAATATGGCTTATGAAAGTTTATTAGTTGATTTTAAAGTAGTTTAAACAGCAAATGGAAAAGTAGCTAGTGGTAGTGAAATAAATTTCTGTAGCTCTTTAACCCCTTAGCTGTACATTTCTTTTACTGTTGTATGTCCAATATTATATAATGAATGATTATTAATTAGGCACAGAGTTGCACTGCACAGTTAAGAAATTTTCATAAATGTGTATTTTATTCTTATGGTGTATATTATTCAGTTGTATTATTGCACACTCTTGACACAGGTTTATATGTTGCTGACACAGGTTCACTATTTGTTCCTGACATAAGTTCACTATATGTTCCTGACACAAGTTCACTATATGTTCCTGATACAGGTTCACGACATGTTCCTGACACAGGTTCACGACATTTTCCTGACAGAAGTTCACTACATGTTCCTGACACAGGTTCATTATATGTTCCCAACACAAGTTCACTACATGTTCCTAATACAGGTTTACTACATGTTCCTGACACAGGTTCACGACATGTTCCTGACACAGGTTCACTACTTGTTCCTGACAGGTTCACTACATGTTCCTGACACAGGTTCACGACATGTTCCTGACACAGATTCACACATTAAATCATTGTTTCTTTGCTGAAAAAAAATGTCCCAAGTTAAAAAAGGAATATAATTTATTGGCTCACTCTTGAGATGCCCAACAAATACTCAAGAAAATACACATGCTCCTCAAGTTATGATGGTTCGACTTACAATATTTCAACTTCGTGATGCTGCAAAAGTAATTACTTTGGAGATGAAACTTGAAATAATTACCCAGCATGAAGGCGGCATGTCCATAGCTTGTATATGTTTCTTTACTTTTCAGTACTGGTATTTAGTTACAGTAATTATTTGTTCATTACTTATTCAGTGATAGTAGTTATTTATTTACTTATTTAGCATATATCCATATTCGTCATACGATATTTTTGACTTATGATGATTTGTGGGAACATAACCCCATTGTAAGTCAAGGAGCACCTGTATTATCTTTGTTAGACTCAGGCTCAGTTTGTCCTGATAGATCACTTGAGTTTGACCTAAATTGACTGTCACTTTAAAAATATTCCTATACACATTGCTCAAGTTTATATTACAATGGAGTTGAAGAGAGGCAGCTAGGGGGTTAATTTTTTAAGTGTGGAAGTTAAGTGTTAAATGACTTTAAAGTTTAACTAAGCAAGATTGTTTTGATAAGTGTGGTTGTCCAAGCCAGTGAGTATCTGGTGCAGATGGTAGCATAATATGCACTAATAAATGAAGATTTCATTTATTTTTAGAGAAAATTCAGTGATTTTTAGATGGGCAGTAAGTTTATTTTTGCTTGGCACAGTCTGGGAAAAGTCAGTTTCTCAGTACATTTGTTATTCATGGTGAAGGCGCAGCGATAGTGAAAATTTTCTTCAGATATATTAATCTTCCTTCTCAGTATGTGCAATGCATTAGACATGACTAGTAAATAATTTTTTTACCATTCTCTGTTACTTGAGATGTAATGAAAATAAGAGTATGTAGTTTACCTTAAAAACAATCTATTGAAAACGTCTGATAAAGTGGGTACATGGCATTAATGAAACTCGATGCCTTAATATGGGTCAGTACCTACAAAAATGTTTAACCAAATAAGACAATTATCATTGGCTAATGCGAAGTGCACTGAGACCTATATGGTCGTTAAAATCTTCATGGGATGTAAAATTTAAATTAATCAAATGTAAAATTTAAATTAATCATATGTAAAATTTAAATTAATCAAATGTAAAATTTAAATTTACGAAATGTAAAATTTAAATTAAAAGGACACAAGTGCAACTAATGTGACATTTATTGTGGCAACGTTTCGCTCTCCAGGAGCTTTATCAAGCTCCTGGAGAGCGAAACGTTGCCACAATAAATGTCACATTAGTTGCACTTGTGTCCTTTTACTTTACATATTGTCGGTAATTCTACCAACTTTATTACAAAATTTAAATTACAGCTTTAATTAAAATTGGCCTTGTTTCTAGGATTTTCATTTTAAAATTTATCAGAAAAAATGTCTAACTCAGTTTATAATTTTTTTTTGGGGGGGGCTGATGAAATTACTACATTTTTTTTTATTTTTATTTTTTATGGTTAAGAAAATTAAGCCTATGGAATATTAAGGTAATTATGTTTTCTGTCAGACATAATAGTAATATCAGGTTGGTTGTATTAATACTTGTAAAGTAACTAGTAACTGCACTGTTATGCCATCATCAGATCAATTGGGAAAGTTATTTTCTACACAGTTAAAGGGGCATGTAAGTACTTGTCTTCTAATAACATGTTCATATTTCCACTATAATATACCTTGTCTATAATTACTGTTGCATTTGCTCTGTCTGCTTTTGTAAAGTGAAGTCTAGGATCTCTCCTTAATTCCTGGCATAAGACAATTATCCTCAAAGATTTGTTAAGTTATACCAGGAATTAAGGAAAAATCCTAGACTTCACCTTATGAAAGCAGACAAAGCAAATGCAATAGTAATTATGGACGAGGTAGATTATAGTGGGAAAATAATGAATATGTTATTAGAAGACGGGTTAAGATATGGGAGAAATGAAGTGGAAATGCACCTTAAGCAGGTCCATACACAGGATTGTTGTTGAGAGTGTTTTTTAAGTGTAATAAGCAGTGGTGAATTAAGAGTGAATGGGGCCCCTGGGGTGACACTTTTGCTGTGTATGTGAGGCCCTTTGGGCAACACTTATATTGTATGTTTGGGGCCCCTGGGAAAACACACATACTGTATATGTTTTGCCCCTGGGGCAACACATACCATATATGTAATATATTTAAAATCCATTCATGCTTATAAATTAATTACTTACAGTGATGTATAATAAAATCATACAGATTAATTTGAAATTAAAATTGACATTTCTTTTGTTCCATTAAAGAGATTTTGTATATGAAATTTAGCCTTGGGGGCCATCTCTTTCACATACAGGGGCCCCTGGGGTGCCTGCTCCTTTTTGCCCTCATGTTAATCCACCACATGCCATAAGCAGTCATAGGCAGATGTGGCGGAAATGCTCCACGACGGACCAGTACGTCATTGGAGCTTTCCACTCCTATGTGCAGGTTATTTGTAAATTGTTCCATCCACTGTATTGTGACTTTTATTTTTCTTCACTTGGGAATAACTGTATATCACTCACAAATAGGGTCTGACAAGCCTCCTTCAGGAGAATTTAACAGATATATACTGTGTTCTGGTATTTAAATGCTTTTTATACTTGTTTCCTGCATTTTTTAACAGTTTAAGTTTTGTAGTGGATGTTTTAATATGCTAAGATTGAAATAATGTCTTTTTTGAATTTATGCCTAGAATATGCTACAGTGGTCCCTCGCTTTTCGTAGTTCTCGGCAATCGTAAATTTCGCCAATCATAGGGGTATTTTCGTATAAACATGGACTCGCTTTTCATAGGTTGACTCGCGAATAGTAGTTCGTCCAGGACGCTTACGCACGGTGTGAGCCGGGGCGGCCTCCCTACCCAGCCAGTCTGGCATTGTTTACCAGTGAGTGAAGGTCCCCTCAAGTGCTCCTACGAAATATTTCATAATATTCCACTCATTTTAGTGCTTGCAAGTACTAAATCAGCTACCATCGCTCCAAAGAAAGCTCCTAGTGCCAAGCCTGTGGTAAAGAAGGTGAGAAATATGTACAGTGACAAAGTCTTGTACCATTTTAGGGAAGTGTTAAAGAGACGCCAGAAACAGAGCTCTCTCCACAGTTACTTTGCGAGACAGGACTAGAGTGACTCTCAAGGTGGTCCTAGTGGCATTAAGAAAACAGAGAAGAGAAGCAACCCCAGAGAAGCAATTGGTTTCCTGAGGTGTTGCTGGAAAGGGATTCCCCTTCCAAACTGTAAACAATCCAATCTCTCTCCTCCTCCAGTCTCCCATACACTAAGAAGAATCTCCAATAAAAGGGAAGTGTTATGCTGTTAATGTTTCATTATCATTTCCCATTTTTATTGTTTTTGTTTCTAATGTTATTTCATGTAAAAAATTTTTTGTTTTAGTACTTCTGAGTGTCAGAAACGGATTAATTGTATTTACATTATTTCTTATGGGGAAAATCACTCAGTTTTAACATATCATGGAATTCCCCTAATAATGGCAATCAAGTTCCGTCCCTGACTTTCGCTTGGCTGATTTCATAGGACTGAAAAATTACTTAGGTGGGGTGAACTGGAATGACCCGACTTGGGGTCAGGTAGGGGGTGATGGTTGCCGTTTTGATGCTTTCCGGGGCATATTTCTAGTGCTCAGAAATTATTTTCCCAAATAGGGAAATCAGTCAAACAAAATGTCTAAATGGTGAAAAATAGATTAAAATATCTGATTGGTAAAAAGAGGGCATAATAGGCAAATAAAAAGAGGGAGGGGCAATTAAGAAATGATATTTCAGTTAAAAAAAGGAATAAAAAGGGAATTGAAAGCAAAAAGAGATTATGGGGTTAAAGTTGCAAGGAATCGGGGGCTAACCCAAAAGGATTCTTTAGGTATAAGAAGTAATCAGGGACAAGATAGGCCACCAAAAAGTTCCTCGGGTCAGCTCATGAAGTGATAAGGAAATGTGTAATTTTTAACACTACTTCCTCTCATTTTTTACACAGGAGGATCGCAAAATTTTCCAGAATGATAAATTATGAAAAACAGGACGATAAAAACTGTGCCGATTAGGGTACAAGTAAACTGGTCCTTAGGCAAATAGAAAAAATTTAAAACCTAACAAACCCCCAGGCCTGATGAACTGTATGAGGGGTTTAAAGGAATGAAAAGAGGAGCTTAGCACACCTTTGGCTATCTTTTAAACATTCACTAAAAATGGCAGGGTCCAGATAAGTGGAAAAGGCAAATGTGATACATTTTCAAAAAAGGTGAAGGTCCTTAGCTTCGAACTATAGACCAATAGCCAACCTCCATGTGGGAAAAAATTTAGGAATCAATAATTTTCCGAGGCGTTGTGCCCCCCTTGAAAAGCATAAATTAACAACGAATCTCGCATGGTTTTAAAAGGGCGTTCCCGCCCTTTCGAATTTATTAACTTTTTTACTAAGGTATTTGGGAGGTAGATCTGGTAATGAATATGATTTGGTATAGGACTTCAGTAAGGGTTTTTACAGGGTCCCCTCAGGGCTATTGAGGAAAATTTAAAGCACATGGAATAGGAGGAGAAATTTTTTCCTGGATAGAGGCATGGTTGACAAATAGGCAGCAGAGAGTTTGCATAAATGGGGAGAAATCAGAGTGGGGAAGCGTCACGAGCGGTGTTCCACAGGGGTCAGTGTTGGGCCCCCTGCTGTTCACAATCTACATAAAACGACATAGATGAGGGCATAAAGAGCGACATCGGCAAGTTTGCCGATGACACCAAAATAGGCCGTCGAATTCATTCTGACGAGGACATTCGAGCACTCCAGGAAGATTTGAATAGACTGATGCAGTGGTCGGAGAAGTGGCAGATGCAGTTTAATATAGACAAATGCAAGTTCTAAATGTTGGACAGGACAATAACCATGCCACATATAAACTAAATAATGTAGATCTTAATATTACGGATTGCGAAAAAGATTTAGGAGTTCTGGTTAGCAGTAATCTGAAACCAAGACAACAGTGCATAAGTGTTCGCAATAAAGCTAATAGAATCCTTGGCTTCATATCAAGAAGCATAAATAATAGGAGTCCTCAGGTTGTTCTTCAACTCTATACATCCTTGGTTAGGCCTCATTTAGATTATGCTGCACAGTTTTGGTCACCGTATTACAGAATGGATATAAATTCTCTGGAAAATGTACAAAGGAGGATGACAAAGATGATCCCATGTATCAGAAACCTTCCCTATGAGGATAGACTAAGGGCCCTGAAACTGCACTCTCTAGAAAGACGTTAGAAATCAGGGGGGATATGATTGAGGTTTATAAGTGGAAGACAGGAATAAATAAAGGGGATGTAAATAGTGTGCTGAAAATATCTAGCCTAGACAGGACTCGCAGCAATGGTTTTAAGTTGGAAAAATTCAGATTCAGGAGGGATATAGGAAAGTACTGGTTTGGTAATAGAGTTGTGGATGAGTGGAACAAACTCCCAAGTACCGTTATAGAGGCCAGAACGTTGTGTAGCTTTAAAAATAGGTTGGATAAATACATGAGTAGATGTGGGTGGGTGTGAGTTAGACCTGATAGCTTGTGCTAACAGGTCGGTTGCCGTGTTCCTCCCTTAACTCAATGTGACCTGACCTGACTAGGTTGGGTGCATTGGCTTAAGCCGGTAGGGACTTGGACCTGCCTCGCATGGGCCAGTAGGCCTTCTGCAGTGTTCCTTCGTTCTTATGTTCTTATGTTAAAATTGATTCGCAAATCGTAAATTTCGTTTATAGTAGCTCCTCCAGGAACGGATTAATTACGAAAAACGAGGGACCACTGTATCTTTTTTGTTTATTATTGTTTGTAGCTTCTGAGAGGGCAGTGGTCTAATACAATACTTCCTGTCTAGCTATGGGCCTGCTGAGTGAGTACTGTAAGTTGCAAAATATGTTTTGTGAGTGTGAGCATGAGAAGTAGCAAAACTGCAGAATGTAACTTAATTTTGAAATATGAACAGTAGATGCCATTTTGCTGTGAACTACAACTATATGTGAAGCATTGGGCTCATGTGGGTTATTCTGTGTAGAGTATGGTAGTGGCATGATCCTCTGTTGGCTGATTGCAGTTCATACTATCATGTTGTAAGCAATTCCTTAAAAAAATAACAACTTTGAAACAGAGACCATGTTAAGTGATGTATGATGTATGAAGCTGGGAGGTGGTGAAGTGAAATATGAAGACAGCAAGTTGGAAGAAACTTATGACAACATTTCGGTCTGACCTGGACCTTTAACTAGTCTCACACTAACACTTCTCTTTATTTCCTCTGTCTCTGCCCTCCTTGTGTGTACATACTGGCTCTCTTACCTTCGTGTTAATGTAACTAGTTAATGGTCCAAGTTGGACTGAAACGTCCTCATTTTTCTTTCTCTTTTGTGTCGGTTATCTGTGCATAGCTTCATCTACTTTGTGAGCTAGTTTTGAATTCTTTACACTTCATTATTCTCCACTACACCTCTCCTACTCACTCTTATACACCATCTTCCCCACACTATACATTGCCTTCTCTTAGCCATTGTTTCCTCTTATATTCCACTAATGATTTAGCCTCCGATTTAAAAATCAGAGAGAGAAACTTCTACCAATAAATTCTTCTCCCAGTTTGTCACTTAACTTGGAATGTTATCAGCATTGCAAGTGCTTCTTTTAAGCCAAGTCACACACACTTCTGTTTTTTAAATCCTGTACAACCAGATTCATGAGAGTTGGGTACCCTTATGTCCGTGTGAATTCAGCACAGGTAGTCTACCAGTACCACTGAAGTATGTTCAGTAAATATTGTTGCAGCTTTGAGCTTATGCTGTGTTTCAGAGATGGTATATCTTCAAATGTTGCCCTAATCTGGTTAACATTCTTAAGAATGTCCATAAAAAACTCGGCACATTTGAACCTAAATCTTATGATTAGTTCTCAGTTTGGGGGTCAGTGCTAAGCTAAAATATAAGTGGGCATTACAGAAAATAAATATTGTAAATGAAAGTTATTTCAATTATTCATTGAACATGCATGTAAATATGGAAGGGCCTGAATTTGAGGGTTTGACTGTATTGTAACATAATTGTGTTAGAAAGTATAAAATAATTTAAGTTGCAAAAGGTTTTTCAGTTGCTGAAGAATAAAAGTTGCAATGCTACTGTTATGGCTGGAACATTTCACAAATAACCTGCACATAGAGAAGAAAGCTTAGATAATGTTTTGGCTAGCCCTGGACCATTGT